TTTTATGTGTATGAGTATATTGCTTGCATGCAAGTAAGTGCACCTGTGTTGTGCAATGCCCACGGAGGACAGAAGAGGCTGTCGGATGCCCTGAAACTGGAGTTACGGAGTTGTTAGCTGCCATATGGGTGCTGGGATTCGAACCCGGGTCTTCTGCAAGAACAGTCAGTGTTCTTAACTGCTGAGCCATCTCTCCAGCCCCTACTTAAAAAAAAAAAAATTCAAAACTACATTTACTTATTGCACATACATGTGCACACATGAATGCATGCACATGTGCCATGCTTGCATATAAAGGTAAATGGGCAATCTGTAGGGGTGTTTTCTCCTTCCATCATGTGGAGTCATATTTACATTTTTTATGTGTATGAGTATTTTGCCTGCATGTATGTGTATCAGCTGCATTCCTAGTGCCTGCAGAGGCCAGGAGGTGTCAGAACTCCCTGGAACTGGAGTTACTGATGGTTATGAGCCGCCATGTAGGTGGTGAGAACCAAATACCAGTCCTCTGCAAGAGCAAAAAGTGCTCTTAACTGCTGAGCCATCTCTCCAGTCCCTACTGCTACTTCTATACACAATTCTTCTCTTAGCTAGGTACATTTAGAAAATAATGAGAATTCCAAGTAATAAAATCTCAACCTAGTGCTGGAGAGATGGCTTGGTGGTTAAGAGAACTTATTACAAAGCAGAGGACATGAGTTCAGTTCCCAGCACCCATACTGGGCAGCTTATAACCTGTAACCCCAGCTCGAGGATCCAATATCTCTTCTGGCATCCATGGGCACTTGAACTCACATCCACATACACACAATTAAAATCTTAAAGATCTCTACCTATTCAAATTTGAGCATTATAAATACACACACATGCAACAGTAGTATGTCTAACACTGACAAAAACATAGCAGCTCCATATAAACTATAACATGCCTTTAATCCCAGCACTCGGGAGCCAGAGGCAGGCGGATCTCTGAGTTCAAGGCCAGCCTGGTCTACATAGTGAGTTCCAGGACAGCTGGGGCTACAGGGAGACCCTGTCTCAAAAAAAAAAAAACAAAACAAACAAACAAAAAAAAAAAAAACTATTACAATCAAGGTACAAGTTTTCAAAATTAATTTATGTGGGAAAAATGTACATGTAGTTCAGTTCTTTCCTTCCACCACATGAGTTACAGGCTCAGCAATAAGTGCCTTTACCTGTTTAGTCATCTCCCAAACTCAAGTAATTTTTTTTTTAATTTTACTTATTTTTATTTTTAATTTGGGGGGGGACCTTTTTGACACAGGGTCTCCCTGCAGCTCCAGCTGGCCTGGAACTCATTATGTAGACCAGGCTGGCCTTGAACCCACAGAGATCCACCTGCCTCTGCCTCCCAAGTGCTGGGACTACAGGCATGTGCCACCACACCCAGCTTTATTATTTTTATTTTATGTGTATGTGTGTACTGCCTGCATGTAGGGAAGTGCGCCCATGTCGTGCAATGCCTGTGGAGGTCAGAAGAGGCTGTCGGATCCCCTGGAACTGGAGTTACAGACAGCTGTTAGCTGCCATGTGGGTGCTGGGATTCGAACCCGGGTCACCGCTAAGCCATCTATCTCTCCAGTCCCCCAACTCAAGTATTTTTATGTGTATGAGTATATTGTGTGTGTGAAGTGTACCTTTGCCATGCAATGCCCACAGAGGTCAAAAGAGGTTGTCAGATCCTCTGGAACTGGCATTACAGATGTTTGTTAGCCACCATGTGGGTGCTGGGAATTGAACAAGTGTTCTCTGCAAGAGCAGCCAGTGCTCTCAATTGCTGAGCAGTATCTCCAGACCCCAAATGGTGACTCTTAAAAAGGGGAGGGGCACATAAATTTATAATCTGTGTTAAAGATTGAGTAAATATTTTTAATTTTTTGATTTACTTTTATTTTTATGTGTATGAGTGTTTTGCCTGCATGTAAGTACACCTATGCATGGAACATCCATGGAGGCTAGAACAGAGCATCAGATTCCCTGGAACTGGAGTTAAAGACCATTGTAGGCTCCATGTGGATGCTGGGAATCAAATCCAGATCCTCTGCAAGAGCAGCTAGTGTTTTTAACTACTGAGCCATCCCTCTAGTTCCTTGAATAAAAATATATTTTACATATGGAGAAGCAGGTAAGAAACCACAATGCAACCTGAGCAAGTATTGACAACCAATGGCTCCTGGGAGCAGGAGAATCAGTCTCATATAAGGGTGAGACTCTTGGTAGGCAGACTAGGCTCCAGTGGATGAACCCACACCCAAGGGCATTTGGGGACACATACATACATAATTAGAGAATATAAAATTGGATGAGGTGTACTAAGAGAAGGTACAGATAGGGGAGGGATCTAAATATGGTAAAGATATATTGCATGCAGTTCACAAAAATTCAGTTTAAAAAGCTATTCAAGTATTTTTTTAAACCAACACAACTACACAACTAAAGAGCTGCTAAAGAAGTTACATAGCAGTCTTTAATCCTAGCACTTGGGAGGCAGAGGCAGGTGGATCTCTGTGAGTTCCAGGCCAGCTGGGGCTATAGGGAGCACCTGTCTCAAAAAGACCAAACAAACAAACAAAAAACCACCAAAAGTTACATAGCTGTCATCAAGCACCAAAATTAGTAGCCAAGTAACGAAGTAATTACAGTAATGCACTGGTTACAGAACATCAGTCAGATAAACATGGCTGATGCTGAGTCAGACATCTAAGTCCCTGGTGATTACCAGGTGCTATCTTTGGCAGTTAAGAGTCATCAATGAAATCTCTGCAATTTTAGAATTTCCTCCTTGCTGAGACATCATTCTAGTCAATTCCTTAAAAAGGTGAAAGCACTTACTAGAAAAAAAAAATGCAAAGGCTTTTTCAGAGTGTCTGGCATGTTCTAAAAACACCAAGGACTGGGTAAGATATACACCAGCTTCTCAGGAGGTTGAAGCAGGAAGGAAGAGTTCAAGGTCAGCCTGGGCTACCTAATGAGACCCTGTTCTCAAAACAAAAAAGGTCTAACACATTTTCTCTCTCTCTTTTTTTTTTCAGGGGGGAACTTTTTGAAGCAGGGTCTCCCTGTAGCCCCAGCTGGCCTGGAACTCGCTATGTAGACCAGGATGGGCTTGAACTCACAGAGATCTATCTGCCTCTGCCTCCCAAGTGCTGGGACTAAAGGCATGTGCCACCATGCCTGACTGGTCTAACACATTTTTAAGGTGGAGTGGTTGGAATGTGCCAGCAAAAGGGAAGCAGAGAGTGAAGGAGCCAGGAAAAGTCATGGCAGGAAAATGAACCTACTACTGGACTTGGGCGAGGAAGGGTGCCAGAGGAAGAAGCATCACCTCTACAAAGAAGCAACTGAGAGCACCTTTTTCATAAATTTGAGTTATCAACTAGCTAGCCAAGGGCAGGTGCATACAACCTCTAGAACTAGAGACCAGAACTGTAGGTAAGTTTGGGAATTGATGTGAAGATGGTTTATAATGCTGAGTCCCTCACCAAAGAAATGAATAGTACACATACAGAGAAGAACTAAGCCCTGAGGAGCTACAGGTTTTAAAGCTGCACAGAAGGCTGAGAAGAAGGCAAGTATACGTGAAATACCCTGGAAGTCAGATGAGAAGTCAATGATCAAGTGCCAAAGGCTGCCTGTCTAGACAAGAACCCAAACCAACACTGCACTTGACCACAAGGTGTCACTGAGCTGCCTCACAAGCAGTTTCAGTGAAGACGATAGATTAAAACAATCCAATTCATCTCCTTTTTCCTCCAATACTGTTCTAGATCCTAACCCAGCATAAGAGTAAAACTAGAAAATGCAAAGCCTCCAGTTCATTTAGATCAAGTCGGTTATGTTTTACCGGAACTACTAAGTATTGTTAAGCAAGAGAATTTACACTGTAAAATATTTCAGTTTAGGGAATTAAGATATTGAAAGAACATAAAATATTACTTTGTTTTAATATAAATGTTATTTGGAAGAAGGCTTAATTCACATTAAGGTCTTTATGTTTATAAAGAACTACTTCTCTGTCATTTAAATGTGCTGTTTTTCTTTTAGACTGTATAGATAAGTAGCAAGACATTCCTTTAAGCTATTTAGTTTCAGGGACTTCAGAAGCCCTCCGGTATCCTGATACCACACCCTGGACCTGAACAAATAAGCCAATTCATATGTACACCTGCCAAGATTTTCACTTCTGATTATCCTGTGTTAAAAAAGTTTTATTTTGTTTTTTTAAGTCACTTGAAACTCTTAAAGAGAGACACAGTAGATACAAGAAGGCAAGCATTAAGTTGCCAACTTCAAAGGACTCCAGCTCTCAAGAGGCTGAGAATCCTCTATAAGCCACTGGGTACTGCAGATAAAACCATTCAGCTTTGATTCCTCAAAGAATCTTTAACTATTGCTATCTACCAGTCTCCTTGCTTCCATGATCAAAGCTGGCATGAAAAAGTTTCTGGGAGATCTATGTTTCTTTGAAGCAGCAGAGGACAGATTAGTATATCAGGCACTAAGCTGAAATAAACACTTCCAAAGCAAGTATTCAGGCAGCAATTTTGCTCAGTTTCTCAATCTTTTTTTTTTAAAACAAAATCTTACCTACTTGCCTTACAGACACTTGAACTGCTTTCTCCATTCATCAAGTACTTGATGACAATGACTGTGAGATGTACCAAGGTGTTTACAAATGTAGTACAAGTGATCTCTACACCAATGTCACCAGGATATAGGACTAAGTAATGTGACTGGTACCAATTAACAAAAAGAGTGCATCTAAACAGTGTGTCCAGTTTTTACTAGAAAGTTACTCTCCAAGAAACCTGAAGGCACACCCTCTTCAATCAGCATTAGAAGTCCTTTACCTCCCTCAGTCATAGAAGACTGACCTAATATGTGCAAGCCTTGGGTTCAGTCCTCTAACCTTAATTAAGAAATCCTAGCCAGGGGTGGTAGCCCACGCCTTTAATCCCGGCGCTTGGGAGGCAGAGGCAGGTGGATTTCTGTGAGTTCCAGGTCAGCCAGGGCTACAGGGAGACCCTGTCTCAAAAAGACCAAAAATAGAAATCCTGACTGGCCATTCAATAGCATATGCATGTGGCAAGCACTCTATAGTCACCTAGATATGCTCCCTCTTCCCTTGGTTTTAACAAACCCTGCTCTGATTATGACCTTTTTTCTTTATTGAAACAGGGTCTTCCTACATAAGCCTGGCAGGCCTAAAACCTCACCAGGATGTGGACCAAGATAGCCATGAAATTGTGGCAATCCTCCTGCCATCTGCTCCCTATTGCTGAGATTATAGGAGTAAGTCACCTGCCTGGCCTCTGACTTCTATATTTCTATATTCTTTTCTCTTTTTTTTTTTGGTCTTTTTGAGACAGGTCTCCCTGTAGCCCTAGTTGGCCTAGAACTCACTATGTAGACCAGGCTGGCCTTGAACACAGAGATTTGCCTGCCTCTGCCTCCCAAGTGCTGGCATTAAAGGCATGTGTCACCATGCCCGGCTTCTGACTTCTATATTCTAAATACCTTAGCCAACTCTAGCCTCATTTTCATAATGCAAGCCACCAAGCCAGTCTACCTCTAGCAGCATATGTCTCACTCAGGGGCCAAGATTCACACAATTCCCTAGTACACTGCTACAGAGATCTGAAGAAATCTCCCACACAGTTCAAGATCAAAGTCATGTTCTTCTCCACTCCTCAAACACATTTACAGCTTTACCAGCTCTCACTGTTACAAGCCTATTCCATCCCAACAAACATCAACTAAAAATATTGTTCTGGAGACAGGTATCACATAGCTCAAACTGGCCTTAACTTCTTGATCCTCCTGTATGCTGGAATTACTAGTACACCAAGCCTGGCTCAATTTTCCTTAATTAACTGTGTCTATCTTACCTCAGCATGATCTCCCTGAACATCCTAATTTTACCAAATTTAAAATGTATTATCTCACAAGTACTATACCCTGCAGTCTTTCAAAAAACTGGACCAGCACCACTTGGAACATAATTTTACTAATACACTAATTATACCAAGTGATAGTTTGCTTTGTGTAGTGTCTGGCACTCTTCCTAGTCTATAAATTCTTTAAGAGCAAAGATCATGTCTCACCTTCTTTTCACCAGCATACAACTAGTGCTCAACAAATAACCTTTCTTCCTACCTCTCCTCCCCCACTACCCAGAGAGTCCTGCCCTCAACCCAAGTGCTAGGATTCTACAGGCATGGGCCACCATTCCCCACGTACTCCTTTCTTCCTTTAAATATTTATAAGCTACAGGCCTTCCCTATGTAAAAACCTATGATATCTAAGTAATACAGACCATTCTTACTATGTTATTTCCTTCATCAATTTTAGACACTGATGCAGGTTTCCCACATACACAATTAATGTCCACCACTTACTAAGAGATCTAGTAAGCTTTCAAAGTTCCAGGGATCTGTTTTCTTATCCACTTTGCTACGCTACATAAATGTGCTGCAGCAGATTCAGAGATCCCAAAGAGACAAAAGAGAAAGCTTGTCTTAAAAGACATCTTGGACCAGTAAGAGGGATCAGAGGATCAAAGTGCTTGCTGTGTAAGTCTGACTACTGAGTTCAATGATCCCCAGAATCCACAATGAAGAGAACAGAAGCCCAAAAGCTGTCCTCTGACCTCCACATGCCCAATGTGGCATGTATACACGTTCACACACGCACACTGAAAATCAAATGCAGACTTTTCAAATATACGGATTCATTCTTTAAAAAGTCTACACAGCAGGGCTGGACAGATGGCTCAGCAGTTAAGAACACTGGTTGTTCTTGCAGAAGACCCGGGTTCGAATACTAGCACCCATATGGCAGCTAACAACTGTCCACAACTTCAGTTACAGGGGATCCAATACCCTCTTCTGACCTCCTCAGACACTGCATGACACGGGTATACTTACCTACATGCAGGCAATACACGAATATACATAAAATCAAAATAATAAATAAGCCGGGCATGGTGGCACACGCCTTTCCCAGCACTTGGGAGGCAGAGGCAGGCGGACCTCTGTGAGTTTGTTCAAGGCCAGCCTGGTCTACACAGTGAGTTCCAGGTCACCTGGGGCTGACAAATAAATTAAATAAGTTAAATAAATAAATAAATAAAATAAAATTTTTTTTTGTCTCGAACTCAGAGATCTGCCTGCCTCTGCCTCCCAAGTGCTGGGACTACAGGTGTGCGCCACCACGCCTGGCTAAAAATAAAAATTTTTAAAGTCTACACAGTATCCAGTCTATCAAGTTTATTCCCTCAAACAAAACACGGAGTTCTATCCAGCTGCCATATGGCAAAATAACCCCTTCCCAAATGCTTAGATTTTTACTACTGGGTGAAAAAACATCTTGTGAATTCAAATTTACTTGAAACAGAAATGGGCCATTGTCTGACGCTTAAAGTCACTTTAGGGTTAGTGAGACTGCTCGGCACGCAAGCCTAAACACCGGATTCAAGCCTCAGAATCCACATGAAAAGTAGGATGTAGCAGTGTGTACTCCTATGGCAAGGAGGTGAGGATAGGCACTGTAGTGACAGAAAATAGAGATTCTGCTTCAAAAACAAGGTAGGGTGGGAGAGGTGGAAGGAGATAAAGGCCTCCTAAAATATCCTCTGCCCCACACCCACAAAATCTTTTGTTTTTGTTTTGTGTTTTTTTGGTCTTTTTGAGACAGGGTCTCCCTGTAGCCCCAGCTGTCCTGGAACTCACTATGTAGACGAGGCTGGCCTTGAACTCACAGAGATCAGCCTGCCTCTGCCTCCCAAATGCTAGGATTAAAGGTGTGTGCCACCACACCCGGCACGAAATCTTTTTTTAAAAAAACTTTTATCTTTAATAGTTTATAATTTTATTCATTTAATAAGGGAAAAAACTCACTAATCCACACAATGCAGAAAGGAAACATTATCTTTTTATTTTCAACCCTGTGACAGATTCGCTCAATCTCAGTATTCACAATTATCTTCAATTATATATTCCCCCTTTCTTCCCAAAGTTCTCTCACACACTCACCTTCCAGCATGGTCTTGATGGTCACAGATTGTTTGGCAATTTCTACATCAACTTCAAATATCTCTCCATCAGAACTCTGCAACTTAATTGAAGGCATCTAAAAAGGTATATTGAATGCAATATTTAAGCGATATTAATTCTACAGGATACTTAATCAATTAGCCTGCTAGACACCTATATATAACTTACGAATTGTAATGCATCTGTACAGAATCTTGTACAATTCTGCTGGAAGTAGTTCTTCACCAACCAGTCTACAAATGTTTTTATAAAACGTTCTCCCCAAGTATAACTCCTATGATCAGCAGCTTTTTTTAAAAATTATTTTTATTTTATGTATATGTGTATATTGCCTGCATGTAGGTAAGTGCACCCGTGTCATGCAATGCCGGAGGACGACAGAAGAGGCTGTCAGATCCCCTGGGACTGGAGTTATAGATGGTTGTTAGCTGCCATGTGGGTGTTGGGATTCAAACCCGGGTCTTCTGCAAGAACAATCAGTGTTCTTAACCGCCGAGCCATCTCTCCAGCCCTGATCAGCAGCTTTTGAAGTCTACTTAAAAGCTGTATTGAACTCAATACTGTTTAAAGAGCTATTTGTACTTTTGATTCAAAATGTTCTTTTTTACATCTATTTATTTGTTTGTTGTGTGTTTCTGTGATATGCAAACAGGTATGTGCTCAAGTGGTGTCAGGGGGCAATTTATAGGACCGAATTCTCTCCTTCCACCATGTGGGTTCCAGAGATCAAACTCAGGTCATCAGGCTTGACAACAAGCACCTTTACCTGCAGAGCCATCTCACCAGCCCTGCAAAATGTTCAAAATATATGCTTTCTGTTTGCCTTTCTGCTCCCACTGAGTAATGACTACACCACCTGAAAAATTAACTGCCACAATTAAGTATTTACACACCTGAAGGAAGTCAGTCCAAAATAAACAAAACTACCAAATAAGAGTGATCTTCCTACAGTGAAACCCACCAGTGTAAAATGAGTTCCAATCCAAAGTACAGAGCTGGAACACAATTCTGTCTGAATGAATGCAAGCCTACACAAGAAAGTAAAAGGCCTTCAGGTTAACACCATTCCCCAACACTGGGAACAGGCTTCAATTTCACAGGATACTTCATAGTTTTTCATTACTCACTATCCTGTGGTACAAGTTTGAGATCCTCTAGCAAAATCCCCACAATAACCTACTACCTGGTGGTGCAGGCCTTTAATCCCAGCACTTGGGAGGCAGAAGCAGGCAGATCTCTGTGAGTTTGAGACCAGCCTGGTCTACTACACAGGGAGTTCCAGGCCAGCTGGGGATGCAGGGAGACCCTGACTCAAAAAGACAGGAAAGGGCAAAAAAAAAAAAAAAAAAAAAAAGCATTAAATCATGGTGGCATACACCTGTAAATCTAATACTTGAGAGGCAAGAAGTAAAAGCCATCCTCGACTGTATAGCAAGATCAAAGTCAATCTGGGCTACACTAGGACCTGTTTCAAAAAAAAAAACAAACAAAATAGAAAATTTTGTTTTTTAATTTTATGTGTATGCATGTATTGCCTGCATGTAGTTAAGTGCACCCATGTCGTGCAATGCCCGAGGACAGAAGAGGCCATTGGATCCCCTGGAACTGGAGTTATGGACAGTTGTTAGCTGCCATGTGGGTGCTGGGATTCAAACCCGAGTCTTCTGCAAGAACAACCAGTGTTCTTAACCACTGAGCCATATCTCCAGCCCCACTAAATAGAAAATTTAAATGCATTTATTGGTGCATTTGGGTCTGGTGACATGGTCTTGTACCACAAGCTTTTTGGGAGGTTGAGGCCAGAAGGATTATATTTTCAATCACTATTTGGATTATATAGTGAGTTCAAGCCAGCCTGCAGAATTCAGTGACACTCTGCCTCAAAATAAAAAAAAGGGTTGGGGTTAACTCAGTAGTACAATACTTAACATCTGCAAGGCCCTGGTTCAATCTACAATACTGTCCCCTGCCTCCAACAAAGTGAGCTGGATGTGATAGTGACACATGCCTGTACCTAGCATTTAGGAAGAAGCAGGAGGATCAGAAGTTTAAGGGCATCCTCTACAACCTCTTTGAGGCCAGCTTGGGGGCTACATGAGACCCTGCCTCACCCTAAAACAATAACAAAAAAACGGAATCAACTCAAGATAAATTATCAGCCATTAGGAAAAAGATAACTTCACATAAAATTAAGCAACTAACCCCTAATATGACTTTGGCAAAAACAAAAACACAACCCCCCCCAACTCTCAAGGTGTTTGCCTCAGAGGCAGTCACAATCCTTCAATGGTACAGTTTACTAACTTAAGTATTCTGAAGCGTTCTAGGTGTGAGTTGTATTTTTTTTTATTTATTATTTTTATTTTATGTGTATGCCTGCATGTAGGTAAGTGCACCCATGTCGTGCAATGCCCGCGGAGGACAGAAGAGGCTGTTGGATCCCCTGGAACTGGAGTTACTGACAGTTGTTGGATCCCCTGAAACTGGAGTTAGGGACAGTTGTTAGCTGACATGTGGGTGCTGGGATTCCAACCCCAGGCCTTCTGCAAGAACAGCCAGTGTTCTTAACCGCTGAGCCCATCTCTCCAGCTCAAGTTGTATTTTTTTTTAAAATGTGAATATTCACAAAAGTGTAGTTTGGCATTTAAAACATTACAGCATTTTAGGTTCAAAGACTTAAGCCTCAGTACATCTCAAAGTATTCATTAATTTTCCTGAGACAAATGTCCTTACCCCTGAAGCAAACAAGCTATGAGAAGAGATAAACAGGTAAAGCATGATGCTTTACAGTCCACTGAAACACCCAGCTCTCATTCCTCCATAGTTGGAGAGAATCAGATCTCACTTTTCAGCTCACAAATGTCTGCTTCTCCATGGTACTTAGTGCCTGCCAATAATGCAGTGGTTCTGCTATAGAGGTGCCCAGAGCAGCGGACCTTCCCTATGATAAGGCAACAATAAAAGCTCCAAAAAAAAGTGAGGCCAATTTTTCATAGGGACACAGTTTTTTATATTCCCTAGTACTGAAAGAACATTCCAGAAGAAGGCTAACGACGCAGTTGACAAAATTACTTTAAAAGCATTTATTTCCTTGAAATAATTCACAATAAAGATGTGCTTAGTCATAGTCAAATTCAGGTATTAGGTTACTCCTAAGGGAGAGGGGACCTTATTAAATAACAGGGAGGCAATCAGTTAATCTGTAATTCAAAGCACTGGGTAATCCTAGACTTAACTTTTAGCGTTGCATTTAGTGTTGCATTTTAAGTGCAAAATTTTAAAGAAATAATCCATGAGATCTGGATTTGACTTTCGAAAGCATTTCTCCAATTCTTTAGGCTACTGGACTTGGAAATTAAATACCCTCGCCCAGGCTAAAGATTATTCCAGCATTTCATACTTAAAAAAACAAAAACAAAAACAAAAAAACCACCTCGCTTTAATAAGTGACTTGAAACTCTGACACTTGCTTACTAGACTGCAGGATAAAAGAGGCTCCATTGTTCCATAGACACACTCTGTTGTGACATTCTGAATGAAAGCTGCAGGATTTGCCCAAACCCACCCCAAGTCTCCACCAGAAACTGAACCAAAGCAGGTACTTTATTACCCCCTTCAAGAGCCCAGACACCTCCAGCTTTAGAGTAAAGGGCTCCTAAAAGGCGCACAGCTCTGACGACCGCGTCTGTTAGGACAGTAATCACTCGTGCGACTCCAGGACGTGGCAAAACTTAAAGGGAAACACTGAGAACAAGCCAGTCGTCTACCGACTAGAGGGTAGCACGGGCAAGCCCAGAGGGTAGCCAGTGACGCCAGATACAGGAGGAAGGGAAGGAGCCGAAAGTCCAGCGCCAGCCGGCCACCCTCCCAACCACCGCGGTGAGCACACGCCCACGCTCCCGCCCGCCTGGGACCCAGAGTCCCAGACCCGAGGCCTTCGGCCCCGGTGCACGGGACAGCCAGCTGGTCGCCGAGGCAGGACCACGCCTGGGCCTGAGCCTGGGCCTTGCGGCCGCTCTCTCACCAACCCAACGCAGCCCCGCAGCGGGGAAGGCCCATCGCAGGGCCGGGATCACTCTCCCCGAATACCGAGAGCGCGCGCGGCCACCAGACGCCTGGCCGAGTCAAGCACCGAGTGAGCGAACCCCGGCCGGGGGGTCAGCAACGGGTCTCTCGGCGCCTGAGGCGAGGCCAGGCCAGGCCCAGTCGCCGCCGGCCTCGAGCCTGCCACAGCCGTCGCGGGGCCGCCACCCAGCCCGCCCATCCGCGGACTCCGGCCCGGTCCAACTCCCGGGCGGCTACTCACCGTGCTCGCTGTTTAGACCGCGGGCCCGAAGCTGACCAGCGCAAGGAAGCGTGCACACCAGAAGAGAAAGCCGGACGACACAACCACTTCAGCGGCGCCTCCCAGCGTCAGCGTTTATATGACCGGGCGCGGGCGCCGAGGACCCCAGCTCGTGACGTCACACAGATGGCGGGGCTGTCCGCGACAATCGCCTGACGGGAGGCCGAGGGCGCCATAGTGGGCCCCGAGCGCCACAGGGGTCGACTGCAGAGAGGCTGAGGGGCGGCCTGGCGGGAGATGGGTTTTCGCCTTGCTCCGCTGCCCTGGAGAGTACGGTCCTCCCCTTCCACGCGGGCGCGGGCATCGGCCGGGGAACCACTGTGGACCGAAGGGTCTTTCAGGCAGGGGCTGTCCTGAGCGGAAAGAAGACCCCAGTTCCGGAGAGCCTGGAAGAAACAAACAAAACCTGGGTGTGTTTCAAGTAACGGATTCACCTGCCCCCCTCCCCCGCCACCGCTCCCCCCACCCCCGCTACTCTCCTAATCACCTGAGACAGCGAGGTTGCGTTGGCGGGCCAAGGAGTCAGGATTTGAACCTTACTCCGTTGTTTGACACTTATTTTTAATTATGTGGCATTTTGAGACAATGTCTCACTCTAGACCAGGCTCGCCTGGAACTCATAGTTTTGCCTCAGCATCCCAGATTACAGGTTTGCGTCGGTACACACTGGTCTCTCTCTTTCTCTCTCTCTCTCTCTCTCTCTCTCTCTCTCTCTCTCGAGACAGGGTCTCCCTGTAGCTCCAGCTGATTTTTGAGAAAAGGTTTCATGTAGCCCAGAATGGCCTCAAACTCGGTTGGTCTTGAATGATCGATCCCCTGCCTCTACTTCCTAAGTGCTGGAATTACAGGCATGCGTCACCACATTCTACCTTTCTGAAATTCTTAACCTTTATTTCCTACCCTTGAATTGTGAAGAAGCTTCGAGACCTCATATAACAGTTGTTGCAGTGCAACTCTAAGCCTAGAGAGAAGCCGTCTATGCAGCAGTATGGATCCATTCTTTGAGTAATCTTGCGCCCAGCCCTACAGGTGAGGCACTGACAGACTGTAGAATGGGCTGCTCACAGAAGGCTGTGATAAAGTCACTAGGATGAAACAGCTCTGAAGGCAAGAGAGAGGTCTGAAAGCACCCACCTCCCCTCACCTTAGAGACTGTAACTGTCCTGCCCTGCCCTGCCCTGTCCTGTCCTGTTTAGGGAGCATTACTGTCCCCACTCAGGCGCCTGGCTCACCCAACCAACAAGCACGTGATGGTATTACTGACACCATAAAAACAAAAGGCACATCCACAACGGGCCTCCTGAAGAAACCAGAGACTACGGTTTCTTTAGGACACTGGGCAGAAAGAACCAAGCAGTGTCTTAAGTTACCAGGTCTTTGTCTGCAGGCTATGGTATCCGGTGTCTGCCAGGTGCCACAGCTGATGACAGAAGATGAAAGGCCCACAGCTCTCAGGTTTTTTCTCTGCTGCGCTGCTGCCTGCCCTCCACAGCTCCAGTCTCAGACTTCCTAGGAAAGGCCACGTGGAAAGCTTTTCCTTTCTATGGCATACAGGGTGGCACCTTAGAAACTTGCTGAGCATCCTAAGCAGGCCTGACCAGTGCTAGGTCATTTGACCAGCCTGCTGATAGAGCACAGGGCTTAGCATAAAGCAGGTATGTTTTTCCGAATGTATGAGAACCCCCAGTGTAGACTCAGCAAGAGCTGCTTGGAGACAAAAATGGATGTTTGGGTGCTAGGGTGACACTTAGTATGCACAGGCTCTGGTTCAAGCCCCCCCCACATACATTACTTGTATGTACTTTTTTTTTGTCTTTTTGAAACAGGATCTCCTAGAACTCACTATATAGACCAAGTTGGCCTCAAACTCACAAAGATGTGCTTACTTCTGCCTCCCATGTGCTGGGATTACAGGCATGCACCACCATGCCTGGCTTGTATGAACTATTTTTAAAGATTTTTTATTTTATGTGTATGAGTAGTTTGCATGTATGTAAGTGCACCTGTGTCATGCAATACCCAAGGAGGTCAGAAGAAGACATCAGATCCCCTGGAACTGGAGTTACGGATGGTTGGTAGTTGCCATGTGGGTGCTGGGAACCAAACCTGGGTCCTCTGTGAGAGCAGCCAGTGCTCTTACCCACTAAGCCATGTCTCCAGCCCCTTGTATGTATTGTTTAAGATACAGATTATTGCAGGAAAGATACACAAGAAATTGGTTTTATAGTAGACAGGAACTAAGTGGCTAGGGACTGGGACAGTGATTTTTATTGTTGATGCTTTCTTTTTCTGCTTTTTAGATATGGATCCTCTGCAATGAGCTGTCTTATTTTACAAATTTTTACAATATTTTTACTTTCAAGGACTGGAGAGATGGCTCAGCAGTTAACAGGCACGTACAGATCTTGCAGAAGACCTAAATTTAGTTCCCAGTACCCATGTCAGGTGGCTCACAATCGCTTGTAACTCCAGCCCCAGGGGATATGCATTCATTGATACACATGATTTTTTGAAAGATAAAAGACTAAAGCTTCATTTTTCCTTGAAGAACTCAGGCATAGCACTGCAGTCTCCTCACCACTGTCTATCCCAAGTCAGCAAGAGACTGAGGATGTGACTCAATTGGTAGAGTGCTTACCTAGCAAAGCCCTAGGTTTGAGTCCCAGTGCCTCAAAAACTGCATGTGGCATGCCTGTAATCCCAGCATTCAGGAGGTAGAGGCAGGAGGATCCAAGGCTCAAGGTCACCATCTGCTACATAGTGATCTTGAAGCCAGCCGGCTAGATGAGAACCTTTCAAAAGAAAAGTTCTTAGCCTAAATTTGTAAATTAAAAGTGAAGCTGGGCATGATGGTACATGCCTTTAATCCTTACAGAGGCAGACAGATCTCTGAGTCTGAGGCCAGCCTGGTCTATATAGTGAATTCCAGGTCAGCAGGGCTACATAGTGAAACTGTCTCAATAAAAAATAGAAAATAATGTAAATTGGCTTCAAGTCAAGGAAAAGGCAGATTCCTGGGTCCATTTTCAGTGTAATGAATCTAACCACAGAAGCAGGTTTTCTGTCTTTTAAATTATCAAGGTGATTCTTAAGCTCAGGGTAAACAGAGAAACTTCCTCAGCAGAGCCTCAGAGAGAAAGCATTGCCAGGAGGAAGCCACCAGCATTTGTCAGAAGAGACTGGATCAGGGCCACCTTAGATCAACCCTACCTTCCCTCAGATCCTCCACTCGAGAGCCAGGGTGGCTGATGGATTGCAGGGTTTGGCTGGGAGAGACTCATCCTCACCCAATTTATCCATAATTACCAGTCCAGGTAAGAAAGGATGAGAGAGAGAGAGAGAGAGAGAGAGAGAGAGAGAGAGAGAGAGAGAGAGAGAGAGAGAGAGAGAGAGAGAGAGAGAGAGAGAGAGAGAGAGAGAGAGAGAGAGAGAGAGAGAGAGAGAGAGAGAGAGAGAGAGAGAGAGAGAGAGAGAGAGAGAGAGAGAGAGAGAGAGAGAGAGAGAGAGAGAGAGAGATTGAGATTTCTGAAGCTGACCCTGAGGCTGAGGCATCCTTCAGTCTCTCCACATACATGTAATCAATACCCCATGTTTGTCCAGCATGATGATGCTTGTCTGTGGCTCTAATGCTTAGGAAACACAGGCAGGAGAACTGGAAGTGGGAAACCAGTCTGGACTACATAGCCAGAGCTACACAAGGAGTCTCTTGTCTCAACAATAACAAGCCTTGCTCTATAGAGGAAGGAAACAAAACCAAAGAGAGGAGACTTTCCCAGTACCAAACCAAAAGGCCCAGATTTGTGGCTCCAACTCCAGCCACACTCAGGCCTTGACAGCCTGCAGCCTCCCCACCCCTCCTCCAATGCCACAAACATGTTCTGATTTGTGCCTATTCCTAGATTACTACCTCTAGGCAAAGGAAAAGCTCAGATTCAAGCAGGCTATCCAGGGAAATGGACTCATTTTGGTGAATTATTTCTGGAGATGATCTTCCAGCATCAAGCATCCACAGGAAGATTCCAATGAACAGCAAGCTTCCCAGTGTGCTTAACACAGGATTTGGAGTTGCGGCTGTAGCTCAGTTGGTGGTGTGCTTGTCTAGCATGCACAAAGCCCCAGGTTCAGTCCTTAGCACTGCATACTCAGCATGGTGGCACATACCTTTAATTCCCAACACTTGGGAAGTAGAGACAGGAGGATCAGTTCAAAGTCATCCTTAGCTACACAGCAAGTTTGATACATGAGACCCTGTTTCAAGCAATCCATCCAGCCAGCCATCAAATGGTACTTTGCAATTCAGAATTCAGTTTATGTTCCCTTTCTCAGGCACCCACTCATGGGTCAGCTGGACTCCTGATGTGTTCTAGGCCATAGGACAGCAGGTAAGCTAAGCAGTAATCCGGTGTGCTGGGTGAGGGATCTCCTGTCTCAGCCCACTGCTGTGTTGGCTCTCTTTCCCATTCCTGAGAGCCACTCCGCAGCCGCCTGGGTTATATAATCTTGGGTGAGCTGCCTGTGTGCTTTGAACTTCTTGTGTGATGTGGCATAGGTGCTTTCCCCTTGCCAAGTGTCAGTCTTGCCGTCTCTAAGTTATACCTTTATAACAATAATGAGACATCACTCAGTTTTGGGGAAAATTATTTTAGTCACCAGAATGGCTAAACTTAGGTTACCTAAGTGCTTAAAACAGCTGTATCAGTCCGTTTTTTGCTAAAACAAAATACTGAAAGATAGGAACTTTGTAATGTAAAGAAGTTCATTAGGTTCATAATTGTGATAGCTAGACAGCAGAGAGCATAATGCAGGTGTCCTGGTGAGGGTCCCCTTGGCTTCATCACAGGACAGTGAGAAGGAAAGGGAGCAGACTGCCTGCAGGAGCCAAGTGTGTAGGTGGCCTTACTCCAGAACAAGGGCTCTCTGACAAGAACTAATTCACTCCACAGAACAGTATCAATCCCTTTCCAGGGCGGTGCCCATGACCTAGTTACCATGCACAGTGTAACTTAACAGATAAGTCTCTTTAAGAGTTCTGCTTTCTCCAAGAGAGCCAAGCTTCCAGGATGCGAGCCCTCAATAGATCTACTCAGACCACAACCCAAAGCATTGCAGTGGCTT